AGACCTATGAAGATTGGTACGAGAAGTTGCCATTTACGATCATGCATATCAAACATCGGTGCGTACCTTTGTTAGGGCAACACCATTTTTTTTGGTTTATGGGATCAAAGTTGTACTGTCAGTGAAAGTAAAGATCATATCCTTGAGGGTTCTAAAAGAAGTTAAACTGGAAGAGGCTAAATGGATTCGATAGTGCCATGAATAATTAAATCTCATCAAGGAAAAGAGATTGACAACGTTGTGCCATGGTCAGCTATATCAAAGAAAAATGATGAGGGCTCATGATAAAAAAGTTTGACCTCATTATTTCCAAGAATAAGAGTTGGTCTTGAAAAGAATTCTCTCAAGTTAGCACAATAATAGAGAAAAATGGACTCCAAATTGGGAAAGGCCATATGTCTTGAAACGAGCTTTATCAAGTGGAGCATTAATGTTAGCTGAGATAGATAGAGATGATTTACCTCATCTATAAATTTTGATGCTGTAAAAAAGTACTATACTTAAAAAATAAAAATAAAAAAGAGAAAAAAAGAAAAAAAAAAGAGGACTTAAGTCTAAAACCCAAGAGGGTGGTCTAAGTCAAAGGGGATTTATCTAAGTTAAAAACTTGAAAAGACAACTTAGATAAGGAGAATATAGCATCAAATCTGAAAATTCTTTAACAAGAAGGCTACCATGTTATGAGAAGCTCTAAGTTGTTAAGTGAATCAAGTGGTTAAGTTTTTTGAATGGACTTTAAGATATGTTATCATGATTGTCTGATTATTTTTTTTTTTTTAGGCATTGTATCTCCATACCCATTTTTGTAATTTTTTCTTTTCCCACTGTCCAAAGTTTGCTATCATTTTTGCTAATAAAAGATATTTCACTTCATTCTTTGTGTTTCTCTTTTTGTTGATTATTTTCTAGCCATTCCTATTCTTTTCTCTTTAATACCTTACAATAGAAGAAATGTGTAAATGTATTCTTACTTTTTGAGATTGAAATAATGATTGATAAATGAATAATTGCATGAAAGATTTCTATATTACATTAGAAAGGTTGAGAGTGATAAAGGCAAATTTGAAATGTTCAAATCCTGATAAAGACATTGAATTTGAAAAAAAATTTCTTGCGAAGAGAATATGAGAATTAAATAAGAGATGATTGAGAGTTACATTGATTTGCTCTTAGTATTTGAAGATTAAAGAGTTCGGAGCCCGAGAAAAGAGCTTGAAAAACTTGAGTACCACAATTAATCAACTTTTGTATAGCATGCATTGCATTTCTAATGCCTAGTGCATAGCATATATTGCATTTGAGAAAGTCTAGTGCATGAATCTAGGAAGCAGGGATTTTCCAAATTCCACCTGAAGAAGACAGATGAGAAAACTTTTCGATAAAAGAGTTTCAAATTCTCATTTGAGAAAAAGCTTGTGAGATAAGATTTAATCCTTGAAAGAGGATACCTCTCAATATTGAGATCGATTTGTAAACCTTCAGGCATAATCTTTTAAAATTCCTTCAGACATAATCTATGACTCCTCTGGACATGATTGTCGATGAGCATTTTATTTTTTCAAAAGTTGTGTTGCATCTGTTTAGAAGAGCAATTTATTTTTCAAAGTTGTGGTGCCTCTATTTAGAGGAGCAATTTATTTTTCAAAGTTGTGGTGCCTCTATTTAGAAGAGCTTTTTATTTTTCAAAGTTGTGGTGCCTCTATTTAGAAGAGCATTTTTTTCTCAAAGTCGTTAGCCTCTATTTATAGGAGCTTTATTTACTTTTTCAAAAAAAAAGAAAGAGAATAAAAAATAGCACGAATATGTTGGGATAATCATGTGCATGGTGTTTACGTCTTTGCACAATTCCTATTACACATAAAATACGTAAAGAGGGCAGCTGTAGACACTTTAATCTATCTGAGGATCTACAAGATTAATTTTGGCAATTAAAAAAAATGAAAAAGCTAGAAAAACAGGAAAAATGGTGGTTGAATTTGGGTAGGACTGAGTTGAGGAGTTTTAATTGGATTAAAGCTTAGAGTTAAAACTCAAAAGGGATTGAAATCCCATCTAGTTTTAGGGCTCTCAGATTTCATTTTATAGATATCCATAGATTAGAAGCAAAGAAACACACACGAAACATAGAGAAAACATAAGGCAAAAGGAAAGAAAAAGTGTTAAGGCAATCCTAGGATTTTTAGATTTTTTTTGAAATTTTGGTAGTTTTTTTTTTCTAAAAAATTTTTGGAAAAAATTTCAAATTTCGGTGAAGTTTTCGATGAAATTCATATTTTTTGACATGTTTTTCTAGTTTTCAATAGCTTTTCCCAGTTTCGGTAGAACATTCAATCGAATTATGGGTTGTTAAAGAGAGAGGAAGAGAAAAATGGGAGAAGAAAGAGAGGGAAGAAGGGGGATCTGCTGAAAAAGCTAAAATTTTAGCCTTATATACCCTACTAAAACAATGTCATTTTGAAGTTTGATAAACCCTAGGATACACGTATTTTCTAACAGGCGACCCGACCTGTGCTTCAACCTGCTTTTGTGACCCACATCCCAGCTACTTTCTGCAGTTGAGCCGAGTCGAGCCATGCCCAAGCCATACCATCGAGTCGTTTTTTATTTCTAAAGCTAAGCCATTCTACACCATAAGTCGAGCCATTTTTTGTTATTTTTTATTTACTTTTATGTGTTTAATTTTTAGTATTTTTGCATGATTAAATTTAAGAAAAAATATAATAAAAAATTTTAGGAATAAATATAATTATCCAATAATAAATTTATAAAAATTTTAAATGATAAATTTTTATAAAATTCTTAAATGAGAAATTTTATCTAAATTTGTCTCAAATTGTAGAATAATTTAGATAAAGTTTTAATAACAATAATTAATATTTATTTTCAAACAAAAAAAAAGAAAAAATATAAAAATATAAAATTTTGAAATTAAATACAAATTATCCAATGATGAGATACTTAGAAATTTCAAATTGTATATTCTTAAAAAATCTCTAAGTGAGAAATTTTATCTAAATTTGTCTCAAATAATAGAATAATTTAGATTAAGTTACAATAAAAGTAATTGTATTCTTTTCCAAATAAAAATTTAGGTTCAAAATATTTGATAATTATCTAAGGATGAAACTATTAAAAAGTTCAAATAGTAAATTTCTAAAAATCTCTATGTGAGAAATTTTCTTTAAATTTATCCCAAATTGTGGAATAATTTAAATGAAATTTCAATAAAAATAATTGTCATATTATCTTCTTTCCAAAAAAAATAAAAAAAAAATTTTCTAAATAGGCCTAATTGATGAAAAATTTAGAAATTCAAAAAAAAAATATTTCTAATTTGGCCTAAATTATAAAATAATTATATATTTTTTCGACAAAAAAACTCGAAAAAATAGAACCAACAAAAATCTTTCCAACGACGTAGCCTCTTCAAGAAATCAAATGAGATTCTTGAATACTCTTGAGATGAGAAAATATTTTTAAGAATTCTATCAAATTGATGGAAGAATCTTATAAATTATTTTTAATATTTTACATAAAAATTTGAAACCATTAGAACCAAGACCCTATGATGAATTTAAAATAATATGATACCATCTTGGATAGGCATGTGGGGGTGTTATAAGATTCCTCATATGTAATCAAACTCCTAAATCTTGTTCTGGTTTTAAACCAAACTTATTCTTTTAAAACCCTTAGTCGAGTTTATGAGCTTTTTAAATGGATAAATTTCTTAGATGATCAATCACACCTAATTAAAAAAGATTGATAATAATTTCATTTATTAAATGTAACTATAAATTTTTAAATCTATATGTTACGACAGAAATTTCATAAGATGATGTCCTGCCTGTTACAAGAACCCTTCAACTCCATAAATTTTCAAAGAGAAAGCAAAACCCGAGATCATCACTCGAGGAACCTATGACGGTGAGATCTCTTTTAGAATCAGCTGGAGAAAATCAGATCCTGGCAGTTGCATTGCGGAAATAACTCCAGTATTAGAAGAAGATAATATCAATATTTCACGGTAATTTGGGGGGGGGGGGGGGGGATTTGATTTTCTGTACATGCTACGTACATTCCACTACATTCCACGGGTTACACAACCTGCAATGTGAACTTTTGACTTTTTAATAACGTGCAGGATTTCAATTATGTATATAGCTGCAATTTCTCCACAGCAAACAAGAAAAATATAAACTAATCTGTTTTTCCAGTCGGATATAAGTTTGAACGTCTTAACATATTTTATTTTGAATCACTAACAAACTTCGTCGGCTATACTTAAAATTTTGAAAATTTTCCTTAACATAAAAAAAAAAAAAGTTTAATGGTTTTTAAGCTTTCAAAAAAAAAATAAAAGAAAGAAAAATACTCACATCCCGGGAAAAAAAAAAAAAACGAAGACCATAAAATAATTTCAATTCTTTTTTTTTCAAGAAAAAAAATCACATTTAAATGTAGAGAAAAGTAACACAAAAGAAAAAAAAATGCTAGTGATATATATCTATTCCTTGGCCCTTTCCCTGTCGCGTTCAAAACTTAAATAAGAACGTGTGAGGGGACAATGCAATTAAGTAATAATAAATGTAATAAAGGCAGAAACAGACCATTTATTTTAATTTTGTGTTAAATAAACATATAGGTTTTACCAATGAGTTGGTATCTCAATGATATTGGAGTCGACACAAGGACTGAAGCTCCCAAATTCGAACCCTTGTAACTCAAATGACCAAGAAAATACCCAATGTTGAATCACTAAAAGTTGACCTTGAAAACAATTAAGCTGAGATTTGGGTCGATCACTCACGTTTATGGTCATCAACTAGTTGATGAAATATTGCAAAATGAGGTGGCAACCAAGTTCAGATTCTGTATTAAACGGTGCGTTTCTTTTTTATATGTTTCTCTTAAATTAATCTCGCTCCTTCTAAGCTGAATTTGATAAGTTTTTGCTTGCTGCTTTTCATTATATTTTACATTATTTTCCATGAATATAACATTAAACGCAGATCTATACGGCAGGAGAAGAGAAATGGAGAGACTAAAGCATTTTGAGAAACTCATATTCTTAACATCAAGCAGTGCAGAGGAAAATCAACAAAAATGCAAGAAATGCAAATAACGTGGATGAAAGTATATGTTCAAAGCCCAATTAGACCCTTATCCCTTGAAAAACAAAGAAATTGAGATACCACAAATACAAACTTCATATCTGGTCATGAGATAAATATCCCATGCAAGCCAATGCAAGCCCAACAACCAACCCCAACCCCATATTCCTTCCTCTTGAGCCTGAACCAGCTGGCCCATCTGCGGTTGATGTAGTTGAGTTAGATCCTGCTGATGATTTTTTTGTTGCTGGTGAAGGTGCTGCAGCTGGAGAATTAGCTTCATAAAACTCTACAGGCAACAACACCTTGTCTACTTGATAAACTGCCAGAGGTTTCTGTTGAGTTAATGCGTTGTTAATCTGTGTCTCAACTATCCCGGTTGACACGTTAATCTGGTTGTTCTGGCCAGTAAAGTTGAGCCCGAAAACTCTACCATCTTGACCAGTAGCTTGGGTTCTGACTGGGTTGCTAACGAATTCAAGATCGTTCAAAGAGTAGTATTTTGGTAGAACGTGGTATAAAACTAGCTGTACTTTCTGTTGTTCGTCGAGACTGTTGATGGTACCAGCTTTGAGGTTGTTAAAGGCATTATCTGTGGGAGCAAAAACGGTAAAGCCTTCACTGGTGCTGTTGAGTTGATTTTGTATTTGGCTTCCAACTTGAGTATCTGCTAAAAGGCGAAGGAAGTTAGTGTATTGGCCATTTTTGTCAAGGATTCCAGTGAAGTTAAAAGGGGCCAGTTGGGAGGGGCAGTGCTGTCTGGTTAAGCTGTAAAATGAAAAGTAGGAACAGGGCAACAGATGAGAGAAAATGGAGATTAAACAGGTCTGAAGCATAGATTTTTTGTACTGGAGAAGCTGTCAATGTGAAGGAGAGCCACTGGGGATTTTAAGGGATAGGATGTGGAGAGTAGGACTCTGCTGGAATGAGCTGTCTAGACTCTTGAACTAGACAAACCTCTCCGTTACAACAACAAAATAATGGGATTATGAAATTTTGATTGATCAAGGGAGTTTGCTAATTGCTACTGTTATTTTAACAGGGCACGATGGTCCCTGGTTATCCTCATTCCTTATTATAATATTGGCAGCAAATATAAAATGTGTAGCAAATTAAAGTGGGCCAATCGACACTTAAGCTAATCAATCCTGTTGACCATACTTGTGTTAGATGGGCAAATTACAGGCTGATTTCTCCAAAACCATACTTGGTTTTACACAAGTATAGATCAAGAATTGTGGCCAAGAAAGTTTTCATATGAATCGTGGGGAGGAGTAAGATTATTTTGGTATCCAGATTCCAGTTCTAGGGAGAAATTTTCTGACAAGGATTGGATAATTAATTTAAGCTGAAATTAGCACCTAGAAGTAGACCAAACTAAACCCAGATAAGAGCTAATGTTTACAAGCATTGTCCTCTAGGCCATTTGTGATTTCAATCATTTTTGGAAGAAGCATCATGAGTCCGGCAGCCTGGCTGACAGAAACAGCAGAACATGGCTTGTGAGATTAGAATAGTCCTTAAATACAGCTATTCCGTGCCCATATGTCCGAAGGAAGGATGTTTCTTTAAACCCTTAGAGGGCAACGCTTGTTCACTCGAGCATAGAGACAGAAAGCAATCAAGATTAATTGCAATCGATTACGGTTGGAGTTTCACATCCCATTGTGTCGGCCGACTCGATGTGACAGCACTCCTAATTAGAAAGGTTATTTATAAATAGCATTCGAAGCCAGTGAACAACTCCACACGAACAGTAAATATCATAAATTATTTTGTATTTTTAAATTATAATAAATATTTAATATGATATCTTAATTTTAAAATTTTTAATATAAAATTTAAATTATAAATTTATTAATTAATATAATATTAAAAATATTATTCATCAACTACTTATCATTATTTAAAACTAACAATATTAAAAATAAATATTAATATATTTATAATTAAAAAATCATGATAAAATTTTTAAAATCAAAATAACATATTAAATATTTTATTATAATTTATGAATTATTCATGATATTAACCTTAAATACTATATATTAATTTTTAATAAGAACATATAAAAATATTTTAACATTTCAAGAACATTCAATTTCTAGACAATTAAAGTTAAAATTCAAGAATTTTTTATAAAGATGTAAATCTAGGTGGCCATATATCCTCCGATCAGTTTTTTTACCATTCATTTTTCCTCTTCAATCTTAAGCATCTCAAGTTTTCAAGCAAATTGAAAATAAGCATATAATGATAAACCCACTATTGGGTTGCGTCCGAAGAAAACTAGCTCTTTAGCTAAATGGCCCAGAATAAGGATTGACCTAAACGAGCCCGTTTAGGTCGTTAAATTTTATTTTATTGTATTTTTGGAATTTATCATTTATAACTCCTTTCCAACGCGCATTAATTAAGTTTCAAAGAGTGAAGATGAATAAAACCGTAAAGAAGTGGTATTGATTCACTTCTTGGAATATTTTTTTAATTTCTTAAAATTCACGGACTTTATGTTCTAACAGTTTGGAAACAAAGGCTTAATGGATTCGTAACAACTAAAGTCCATTTAACACCAAATAAACCCAAATAAAAACTACTCTTAACCAAACCCAATAATATTTACATAAAAATTAACAAATCAAATGTGAAGGGATCGTTTGGTATTATTATGTGTATTATATTTTATATTTTTAAATATTTTATTATTTTCAATTTATTAAATTTGAAAATATGTTTGAATAGAATTTTTTTGTTTTAGAAATGTGAAAACAAAAATATGTAAGAGAAAATGATTAAAGTTTTAAGGTTTCGTTTATTATTAATAATAATATAATATAATATTATTTATTAATAGAATATTATTTATATAATAAATATAATTATATTTATTAATATAATATTTATATAATAAAAATATTATTTTATTAATATAAAAATTATAATATCACTGTAATGGTTTAATTGTAATTTTTGTAAATCATGCCTGTGTGGTAACAATATCAAATTGTTTTCAAATTTTGAACATACTATTTCTCTATTTTCAACAATTTCCAAAATTTCTCAAAACTTTGTTTTTGGTTTTCAAATATAGAAAACAAAAACAACTTATCAAACTTGTTTTTGTTTTCAACTTTAAAAAAAATTTGAAAACAAAAATAAAAAGGTAGAAAATGGAAATGTTACTAAACAACCTCTAAAATTTCAATTTTCCCAAAAAAAAAAAAAAGAACCATGTATTTTTTTTAATAAAAAAATTCGCTTAGCTTAAGACACACTTTAAGACCTACTTGCAAATTCTAAGCTAAAAATTGCAAAATGTCATGTCAAAACTCATAACACTAATTGAATTCGTTTTAAATATATAGTTAGGAGTATTAATATTAAAATTTTAAAAGTTTCATGTATATTTATTGAATGATAATCTAATAATATATGAACTGGATTATATATCAAAATAATATGAAAGACTTACTTGATTTGTGGAAACATAATGGAAGCATTTTCGTAGAAGTGTTGCAGAAGTGACGATGACTTGATTCACTGAATAGAGATAAGATCATATATTTGAAAATTGTCTACCATTTATAATGCAAGTCCTTAAACACCAAAACATGAGATTCCTTGTATAGTTTCCATCTCTATGTTGATCTTTCTTTTTCCTTTTTAATTTTTTTTTGTGACTAATCACATAAACCCACAAATAAGACTTATCTCCTACTTTTTTTTGGATGAACATATTTATATTTTTTGTCATGGCTGAATTTCATGCTAAATAAAGAGAGAGAAAGAGATACAATAATAACATTTTCATCATCTTCATGTGATGGTCAAATACCATTCTTTTCTTTTTATTTTGCTATGGCTGAAATGCCATTTATTAGAGTTAAGAAAGGAGCAGTTGCTTTTTTACATTATTGAACAACAACATTTAATTGCCCAAGGTAGTTTTGATTCAAAACTAATAAGCAAAAAATTACCCAAGGTAATTTACATTTGTTGGAGGTTTATCCAACCTATGAATGGGCAACATATTCTAAAATCTCTCACTCGCACAGAATGGGTAGTAAACTCTCACGATCAAGAGAACATTTTCTCTATTCTTTGCAATGGGTTCATCCAAGGAAATAAGCCATGCAACAACCATACTTCGAGAGCTTAGTTGCTATATGATGATTAGGTGCATATAACAACTCAAAATCACATCTAGTCTCAAGTATTAGGTATGTATAGTAACTCTCAAGTACAAGTAGAGCAAATATGTAACATCCTAGATCCATTTAGTCATATTTCAAGTTCCTTGTAATCTCTCTTTTATCATATTATATGATATATTTGAATTTTCACAATTATGTTCGACATCTCAAACATAATTGACCAGTCTATGAATACAACCAAATGTGACACCATAATGATCTTTCTCCTTTTAGAATCTCTTAATTTCAATGCAATTACTATACAGATATGTTCCATTAGATAGAATTATTCATGATCATTGGTAGCATTCCAAGATAACTAATATTGAACTGAAACTTTAAGAAATAATCGAAAGTTTTTAATGGTAATAAATATGAGATCCTCTAATTTCAAGAGTCTTACATAATAAAAAGTAGAGATAAATTCTTCTGTTATCTTTGTTGGTCGAACAATGCACATATGGTATGAAACACATACTACGGTATTATTTTTCTTTTCTCATGTAACATATACTTTTATCATTAGATATCAATACTATGTAGGTAATAGTTCATATACTCATAAGTCCATAATTTTACTTGATTTTAGATAATCAATCAGACTTCCACATAGAATTTAAGACAAACAAAGTGAACTACAGGATTATTCACTTTGGGTCACAAATCTCAATATCAAGTAACTTTATCTTAATTTTTTATCAAGACGATTCCATTTTAAGTTTGGACTCTTGATCCATAACTTAAAATTAATTTCATCTCCATAGTACCAAACTATTGAGGCAATTGCTTATGTAAAAAGGCCAATCTTCTGTCTTTCATACCTTTCAAATCATATTGTATATGTATACATACATATACATGTGCATGCTTCATAAAACAAAGTACTAAACTTTAATGGCATTAATTGCATTCAATATAAGTCAACTTAAATAGGAAAAATCATAAATTGCTCACATGGAACATCTTAATTAGTACATCTTTATCTATGTAACTCTAAAGATTTCATGTGTCTATGAAACATATCTATAAGCATAGGCTTAGTTAATGGATCTACATTTATCTCATACGTAGAAATGTACTTGTTGACTTTATTTTATGCAATAATGTCTCTCAAAAAATTATATTTTATATATTTGTGTTTAGTCTTTAGGATATATTTTTAAATACAATTGCTGCTTAACTATCGCATTTCACTAACATTAAGTTAAACTCATCTTTCTCAATTTCCAAAAGATTAAAAATCTCATAAGCCAAACAATATCTAATACAATCGTTGAAAAAACTACAAATTCAATTTTCATTGTAAATACTATTATTCAAGTCTTTTTCTTACTAATCCAAGATATTGCCCAATATTCAATAAGAAAATATAGCCAGAGGTGAATTTTTCTTTCATCTAAATATCCTCTCTAATTGGCATTCATATAGCCAATTAAATTCGAATCACTTTCTTGATAGCACAATAAATAATCCACAGTGCTTTTACGATACCATAATATCCTTTTCATGACTTTATAATAGGATTAATCTGGATTGGATTGGATTGATATCTGTTTACCATGCTCACGTCATAGCATGTGCACGACCTTTGTACATCATAGCATACATAAAACTTCTAATAACATTAAAGTAAAGAATTTTTGTCATTTGTTCCTTTACCTTGTGAAGTCTTAAGACATATTTGTTGGTTCTGACCTTCACCTTTTGCCATAAGAGTATCAATTGGCTTATAGTCTTGCATACTAAATCGTTTAAGAATTTTCTTAATATATTACTCTTATGAAATAGAATAATTTTTTTAAAAAATCTTTCTTGATTCTTAAACCAAGTATGTAAGTAGTTTTGCACATTCTTTTATTTCAAATTTAAGGACAACTAAATTTCATCATAGTGAAATACTCCTTATCATTTTTAGCCAATAGTGTGTCATCTACATAAAGTGATAAAATTACAAACTTGTCAATAACTCTTTTGACATATGCACAGTGATATTCATCAATCACAATAAAATCATATGAAATTATCACTTGATAAATACCAATGTACCATTGCCTGAAAAGATTATTTAAGACTATAAAATTATCTAAATCATTTGCATACTTTTGGGCTATTGACCTTTGTCAACGAAACCTATAAGTCATTCCATATAGATTTTATCTTTCAGTTTTTCGTTTAGAAAGGCACTTGTCACATCCATTTGATGTAACTTCAAATTTAAACATGCCATGGCTAGAAATGCATCTTTTTATGTAGATCAATCAATCTTCATTTATTGTTTGATCTTAGACTCCATCTTTCTTCTTTCATTGCTTTTATCCATTTTTTTTTTTACTTGACTAGTGATTTTTATAAAACAAATTTAACAAATTCGTAAACTTTAGTCATGCTTCCACTTGGATAAGATATTGTTAGTTATTAATCAAGAATATGCATTAATTGATTTATAACTTACCAAATCATTTGTATCCTCAATCACATAAAAAGATATTTTCTTACTCATCTCACCTTTACTTTGAAAACTCATTTTCCAGAAAAATGGCATTCTAAGATTCTAAATTCAATTATACTCCCATTTGATTATTCACTTATGAACACATATCCTTTTGGAATGTTTAAAATATCTTATAAATATACTCTTTTTGCATTGTGGACCTAAAACTTGCCATGTTAATGAGCGAACTTAAAATATAGACAATACAACATCAAGTTCTTAAATTATTGAGATTGGATTTTCTATCGATCTACAATTCATAAGTAGCATTGTAACTGACTTAAAGAATACTCAATTGAATATATAAATAGTTGATACTTCACCCCAAAAGTGATTTGCAAACCTACTTAGGCTAATATTGACCTAACCATTTTCTAAAGAGTTTTATTTCTTCTCTTTACAATACCATTTTGTTGTGAAGTCATTGGACTAGTTAGCTGCATATCAATACCATTTTCATCACATACTTGTGAACTAATCAGGCAAGTACTTACATCCACGATTAGTTCTCAATGCCTTGATGTTTTTATCTAATTGATTTTTTAGTAAGTACACATATTTTCTAAAGCACTTTAAAGCTTTAGACTTATAAAGAATTCAATAGATAAAACTGAAAGGTATGTTATCATAAATAAATGTGATGAAATATGAACCTCCACCACATGTCTTACATACATTAGGACATAAATATTGGAATGTATCAATTGCAATGGAACTTCAACTCTAATTTTTTTATCAAATGGTTTTCTTGTCAGTTTTCTTACTAGATAGTTTATACATAATTGGTTGATTAACCTTATCATATAGGGCATTGCAATCCTTCTTGTACTAATCTAACCATTCTTTATTGACCCATATGGCTAAGTCTAACATACAAAACATTCACATCAATATTAACATCACAAAATCATTTAATAAACATCCAGATCCATAATGATTTATTTTCAAACACAAATCCATATTAGTGTTATTAAAATTCATAACGAATCCTAGATAAAGAAGAACAATAGAAGAAATAAAATTCCATCAAATATCAAGAGAAAAAAAGATATTTAAGTAAGATGAAGGTTTTTTCACCTTACACACTTGACTTATAAGTGTTAACTCATTTTACTTCAATCTTTTGATTGTTTCTTATATAAATACATTTTTCTCATGTCGCATGCTACATGGTTTATGGTTCATGAGTTTTCTTCGTCTCATTACATTCATAAGTAAAATGACTCTTTTACCATGGCTAGTGCACTTGACTTTAGTTTTGTTCTTCTTAGACTGAGCTTAAGGACCATTCACTTTGCCATTTTGACAACTTTTTAATCTTTTAAGAGCTTTCTCCTTGTTCCCACCATATGGCTTACGCTTAAAGGCCATAACTTCTTCTGAACATATGTATATCATATACACATTAGCATTAGGCTTAAATGTTTTTTATATGATCTTCTCTAATTGAAAATGATAAGAAGCATCATTAAAAATCCTTATACTCTTATTATAGGTCAAATATACCTTAATGTGCTCTCAATTATATGGTAAGGATCAAATTATAGTTTGAACCTCTTGTTCATCTGGTAAAGTATGATCAGCCTCTTTTTTAAAGCAAACTTTATTGTCAAGGCACTCCATATCTCTTTTAGCAATGTCATGTTACTAAACTCATACACGATATCATTCTTTATATTGTTTAATAACATAATGTGAATAGTAAAATTTTCTCTATCCAAGCTTTATAAGCCCTTGTTCCCCTATATGTTAAGACATATTCTTACATTAAGACATATTCTTACACTAAAACATTACTAGGATAATGTTTAAAATTTCAAGAACATTTTATTCTTCTAACACATACTAGATTTTCATATTCTAGATTCCATAATTATCCTCATTTAGTAACCATATACTTAAAAACAAAAGTCATATTCAAAAAATAATTTAATTTTGAAAGGCTCATGCACAAATTAATACTAAGCATTATCACATCTATTTTGCCACAATGTCAAAAATAAAATAATGACAATCATTCATGTAAAAATGAAACCAAAATGTCATTATGTTCATAATTAAATTTCATTTTTAATGGGTTTGATTATCACTAATTTATTTCATTGTAAAAATCAACCATTCTAAGATAATAAATTAATTTTCTTAGAACTTTCACCAACCATAAAGTTACCTTTAACCTATGACAAACATTAATTAAAATTCACAAAAACAAGTCTCATATAACATGTACATACTAAACACAAGAATAAATTTCATCATTAATCATACACATATGCTTATTAAACTATGTTATCAATTAGTACATATCACTAGTCTATTGACTATGATGGAATTCATAAATTCCTATGATAGTTTCACATTTTTATGAGCCATCCATAAAGGTCCAAGAATTTTGTGTTTGCCACTATAGAGACTTTGACCAATAAAGAAGGTCACATTCTTCCTTGTTTTTTTCTCACA